GGCGCAAGTATGTGCAAGTCCAACCTGAAATGAAGGAGGGAGAGCTTGGTCACGGCAACATGGAGCATTGTGCAATGGCACGCACGCAGGCCTCAGCAGCATTTGGTGCAAGTCGTATTTTCTTCTGGACTCAAATCTACAACACTCGAAGAACGCAGTGATAACCGTGCCTCAAGCTCACCTCAGTGTGAAACACGGTAAGATTGATTGCACGAGCACGGAGCTTACCATGCAGGAGTGAGAATACAGGAGCTACACAGGACGTGAAGCGACAAAGTCTGTATAGTTTGTGCAATGGCGATGGCGGTTCTGAACCCTCGACCGGGGCGGGGCTTCTTTTTGTTGTGCTCGTTTCTCTGTAGCAGGTGGCCTTGCATGTTTGCGAGCCTCAGCATTCGGGTCACTCGGGCATCTGTCTTTACTTTGCGGGCCTTACCTATCAGACTCCCCTATGCGCAGACCCCGTACTTTTGCAGGCAGCAAGCCGGCAAGCCGCAAGACGACGAAGCCCGTCAGCGGCAGGAAGCCAACACTGTGAGTCATTTCAGTCAGTGCTATCCATTTTAGTAAAATGCCCAGAAGGGCTTGATCTCCAGACTAAGCGGAGTTTGGGGAATCCCATCCGGTGGTGTCTAACAGTTCAACCGTTCTGATGGTGCGCTGGCAAGAGGCATTGGCGGTGCTCTGTGTCCGTGGCCAGGTGGACCAGGCTGCAAAATGATGTTCTTCGCTGTGTGGGCACTCGAGTCACGCGACGCGCCATGGTGCGAGGTGATGGAGTTCCTGAAGAGCCCGGAGGTCAGAGCTTTGCTCAATCATGGCTTGCAGCCCATACCTATCCCTCCTTGGCCCTTGCACTGCATGGCACGCGTCATTCACAAAGACGATGCTGTCCCAGACCGGCAAGCATCAGGGCTCTGAGACCATGCTGCTGATTCATGTTTTGAGACAAATTTGTGCTCTTCTCACCAAGTACGGGCCGGCTTTGCACAGGTAGAGACAGGTAGTTTGCCAGCAGCAAGGGCCATCTGGTAAGTGGTAAGTATTTCGACGGCTCAATGGTGTCTTTTGCAGCTACGGTTCGGCGTGTCGTCTGCCATCACCCGAGCCGCTCAGTGAGAATCAGCGGCAGGGGCCCATGCCGTGTATGTCAATGTCATCGTTACTGTTGCTGCTTCAGGTTGCCCGCAGAGCCGCAGTGTTGCCGGTGTGAGGCGTCTGTCAGGGACTTGGCCTCGGATTGCTTTGCTACCCGTGACCCGTGCATAACCATCCATCACTGGAGCGCAGAGTGCAGTGAGCTGCATGTGCGCGCACCTGACCTTGTCATACCTTGTCAATCTGTGGGCAGGCTCGGTGGCTTCATACGAGCGCCCGCCCTGGAAGATGTTTTACAATGCATGCTGCATGTAGGGATGTATGTAAGATTTCCGGCATATCCGAGGTGGTTCATCCTGACCTGTCGCCTGATTTTCCGGCCGAGGTGCTCTCAAGACTGGGATAGGAAGCCAAGATCTCCCCTCCGAAGATTCTCAGTAATCTCCAGGCTACTCCTGAAGGTGTTGCGGTTTGACTCCATTAGCCCACTAGCCTTCAACCAAACGCTCTTGTCCTCGCTGCTATATCCGCCTAACTGTGTCACATTGCCAGGCAAAACGAATAAATCAGCGATCCCTGGCTGCATGCTCAGAGTGCGGCAAGCTGTGGGTGTTGCCATGTGTTGCCTTGGGTGATCTACCGAAGTTGCAGGCAGAGCTTAACGCTTACATCGATGCTTTGGAGTCTCGAGGGCGACGCCCTTTCGAGGAGGGGCCTGAGGTGGGCGATCTGTCTGAAGACATGTCAAAGTTGTGGTCAATCAGATCCCTCTGTAGGTCTCCAGGGAACTGCCCTTCTTCCGCGCACTTCAGGCTTGCACGGTTTGCCCATAGAATACGGAGAGAGACCACCAGAGCCACAGTACTGTCAGACTCGGCTGGGCCGGACGGTGCCACACCATGTCTTTGCCTAAGAGAGGAGGGCCTTCTGCCCGAATACTGCAGCTTGTCGATGTGTTTTGACATGACCACCACTGACCGTATCGGCAGATGACAGGCTGAGCATTCACGACTATCCCGGCGGACGCCCTTAAACCGCGCACGTGGCACCCTGAAACCATTTACCAATCATTCGTTTTTAGAGTTGCCCTGGCATGAGCGCCTGGAAAGTGTCAAAATGACAGACGGCTTGCAGTCGCTGGCAATGCTCGGGGCGAGTCGCAAAGCCAAGCGCGTCAACACAGCGGTCAGGCTGACAGGCAAAAGAGCTTGCCGTCGGGGGCAAGGGAGGCTCTTCGCAGAGCAAGATACGGATCACGTGATTCTCGCGAAAGACCAGGTCACGCACATTGATTATCTAATGGTACTTCAAGCATGTCATACATGACTCAACATTGGCACCGACGAGTCGTAGTGGGTGAGCAGGGCCACAACGTGTGTGGTAGGAACAATGTCTGAGGTAGTGCCACTGCATTTGGAAGTTCCATCCCTCCCAGCTGCAGCCAGTGAGTTTGGACCTTATTGAATTTCCGGCGTAGGCGTAGCTGTTTGCTTATGCTTATTGCCTTGTGATTCAATGCGAAGTGCTCGTTCAGCAGCTTGTGTCAGTATAGGTCGGGAGGAAAGTATCAGCAGATTTTTGACTCACTGAGGCTTGATAAAGAGTTTGCGGCTGCTCACCTGATCCGCGGTGCGGAGGCAGTGACGCTCGCTCTCTTGTTCCAAAGAGCCCTTGACAGCAACAGCTGAAGCAGGTGGCTTTGCAAACTCCAAGTTCTCAGTTTTCAGACAGACCAGCGGTTTGAGACTCAGAAGTTGCACAGGAAACATGACTTGAACTTTCGCACCACGTGACAAGGTCGCACCTCTTTTCACGCAGAAAGGGGCTGGCAGGGCAGCCTTTGACAAACTATGGTGGCGAGATGCCTGGATTGCCCGTCGCAGGACCTTCTGTGTTTCTGCATCGTCCTGAGGCAACAAACACAAGAAGAACTCGTGCGTGAGGCCAGCACACGTGTTCCTACCGAACCTTCGACAGCATAGCCAGCATGCTTGAGTCTGAGTCAAGAGGCGATTCATGGCCCCAACGACAGGGAGGTGCGACTACACGTTGCTAAGTTACCAGGCTGCGTTCACTGCACTGCTCTGGTGCTCCAGTGTCTTCGACCCTGTTGCAACCACAGGCGTGTGTTCGCATGCAAGTACGGTCACCAGCTCATGAGGACACGTCCCGGAAAAACCTGTTGGGCACACCGGTGTTGTAAGTTCGCATCATGCTCGAATCAAGCTGCAGGAAGTACTGGCGCATCAAGGATAAGCAGAAACGCAAGCGCCGCATCGCTAATGTGGATGCGCTTGTCGAGGCCGGCAGATGCTGAATTTGGATTGGCGAGCGACAGACAGGGAGAAAGACAGACAGGATAAACTGCACAAAAGGCTTCCAACAATCAAGAAGTGTTCAGTCAAGCGACACTGGTGCAAAAATTCCTCGATGGTTCCGGGTGGGCGCGTGCAATACCAGGCATGAAACTCCACCGGACCCCTGCAGGACAGCCCTTCCCAGACCCTTTCGAGGATGGAATCCGGGGAAGCGGACTCACGCACCAATGCAGTGGACAGAGCCAGACAGGACTGGAGCAGAAGGTCGGTAAACCAGACACGGACTAGGAGGCAGACGGAACAGACATTCAAGTAGCTGGGTTGAGGCGCATGCAAGCAGTTGCTTGATCATTTTTTGTTTTTGCATGGCTTGTAATCCAGTTGCCTGCGGACATGTTGCACAAGGGATTTCGGTGAAGCGGCTCGCCGGCGTAGGTGAGAGCAAAAGTGGCCACACAGAAGGATGTCATCTTGTTGATGCCACTCATGCCTGTTTTGTCGCATCGGGACGTGACCAAACGGACTTGGATCACAACGTGTTGCGCGAGTCTTTTTCGTTGTCACCCGACCCTCCTGAAAAGGGCTGGCCCTTCCTCACTACACCCGACTAGTTGTGGCGTGATGTTGTTAATGCCGGGAGTATACGTCGTGTGGTACGAGTTACGGTTAGGGTGGAGTAGTTTACCTTTTGCGTTGCGGTGCGCGGGATGTGCGAGCAGCCATTTCTGCGGCGGCAGACTAAAGACACCAATGCACCGTGGGCCTAGTCCCATGAAGAGATCCGAGTGCTTTGCATAGACTGTTTTACAGTCGCAGCATGTTGGCTACGGGATTGGTTTTGGCTTTTTTCGTGAAGCGGTGTACTCCGGAAGGTGCGCGATCTGTTGAGGGCGTTTGGTACAAAAAAACAACACCCGGCGATGCTGACTGCATGGCTTTGGGTGTTCAGCCATGGCTTTTCATCCCGAAGAAAAAGACAGAGCGGAGCTTGAGGAACAGCCCTGAAAGAGATTTGTGAATGTGGGCATATGTAGATATGCCAGCAATTAATTAGGGTATCTGTGGTCATTTGATGCGCTGCTTTGTGAGTACGAAGGCCAAAGTTCAAGAGCGATTCCCGGAGCCGGCAACACCCGCAGAGCTTCGGATGCAGGCCTCCGCTTGAGCCTCTTTGTGTTTGCATGTGCCTGCATTTCGGGTCATCACTGAACCATCGACACATTCAAGTGGAGGCTGATGACGAAGAAGCGAAGAATCCCGTGCGGGTGCCCGGGCCCTGGGGCACGTCGGATCCGTCTGACACAGACCTTGCAGCACATCATGGTTTGGTCCCACAGTCTTACATTGCCGCGGTTCGTCATGCTCTCTTTCAACATCTCCTTGTTTTTTGTGCCTCCGTGCTTTTTGATTGTCGTGGTGTACATGGATAGTGACAGGAGCGTTCAAATTCCTCGATTTCTGTTGGCTGCTTCAGGCTTCAAGGGGGGTTCCATCCGGACCTTGTCTTCGTGGATCCCGATCTGTCTGCAGAACATCGGCGCGAGGTCGGCCCGATAGGATCATATACGGTAGTTGGTGTGATGGCGATGTTTCAGCGCCATACACTGCAGCGTACGGAGAAGCAACAACCAGGATCTTTGAGGTTACGTCGGTGATTGCTCACGAGACCGAGTCCAGTCCCCGTTCGACTGTCTATGTCTAGCATGTCATAGACCAATAAGCAGATACGAGCAGCTGACAATAGAAAGTGGGCCAGAACTTGACTCCTGTCTGCTGTGCAGGCGATCCGCCGGGTGTGTGGCATGAACCTTGCCAGCGATGCTGACTTCTGGCTTCTGGAGAATCTGTGGTGCACCCGGCAAAAGTTGTGATTACTCTGGTTTCATCACTCTTGCACTTCCGGGCAGCATTGTTTGAATCTTGGCCAGGAAGGCTATGCGAGATAAGCCGCCTCCAGTACCACTTGTCATCGCCGAGTCGAATTACAAGGTGACATGTTGCAAGTACCTCGGAATTCGTGGGACACTGACTCCACAGTCCGTTGCAGGCCCACCCAACAGGGTTCATTCAAGTTCCCTGGGACTTCACCGTCGACGGCCTCTGCGACATCTTGGAAGTGCCTGAACTGAACAGAGCAGCCCTGTGAAGCCGTGCGTCCTTGATGTTCTGTGTTTCAACTGCTTTGTTGGGGCAGCGGTCATGCCGAACTCCGTGGATTTCTTCTCTGAGCTGTCGGGGTTGGCGAAAGCTGTCAGGCTTTCAATGTGTTGTTCAGGTCTCAAGAAGTGTTGCAGACAAAGCACACACGCTGCGCTTGCGACAGTTACTTGTAATTGTACCAAGCTTGGGGTTGTGTTGCTGTCCTTCCGGTAGCCGAATTCCGGACGGAACCGAAGCCGTAAATGCCCTGCAGATAAGAATGACCCTTCGTGCTCAGGAGCATCTCGATGCAACTCGAGAAGGCCAGAGCAGAACCTCTGATGCGATCTAGCCTTGATATCGCCGGCGGGTTTCTGCCAGGAGTAATCGCTCGGCGACAGCGTGGGCATGTTCCTCCTGTTCCTGAGCCTGATGACTTTGGACAATCAGCTGCAAGATTCTGCAAGTCAGCCTGAAGCATGTGAGCACATGTCCAGACCTCAACCCGCACTGCAGGACCGCTTCTTTTGGAAGACTATTCTGACAAAGAAGACGAGGAAAGTCAAAGCGACGAGGAGGACATTGACCTTGCACAAGATCAAGCGTTTGCTCAACGGGAAGATCTTACATTCCCCTGAGTCTTCATCACACTCGCCTTGTTGGGCGCCTTACAGCCGAGCTATTTGCAGTCGTGCGAAGACGCGGATGTCAAGTCTCTCTCTGATCCGCAAGTCCAAGGAGCGACAGAGCGATAGAACCCCTTCCAAAATCTCAGCCCTCGGCGGCCCGCAGAGCTCGCAACGACGGCTTCTTTTCCAGGACAGGACGGGTCAGAGCCCCTGGCGCTTCAGTCGCTCGGCTCTCCTGGGATCACGCTGGAGGATGGGCCTGCGCTACGAGAGGCGACTGTGCACGAGCTTTAGGAAGCGAGCGAAGCTTCTTCGTTCAGTATCAGTTGGAAGACTGCAGATGATGACGTGGACTATAGACTATAAGAGGTGGGATTGGGCCAATCAGACCGAGAGTTACTTGACAATCGGTCATCCTGGCTGGACCGGCAAAGTCATCACCGGTGCCCTTGCATGCGGAGTGTGGAACACACCCTTGCAGATTTCGACACGACTCCTGAGTAGCCATATTTAGGCCCGCAAGCAACTCGGAGGCTGGGGAGAGTCCCCGTGCTGATGCGTCCTGTCAAGAAACTGGGCGTTTTTAGTAAGGAAGGAATTGAGCTATTGCCTGTTGCACAGTCACGAACATTGGCTGCCGCTGTCTTATGACACGCGTGGTGCCAGCACCGACAAAAAGGATGCTGCGTGAAGCAGCCGACATTGGCGGGGTATTTCCTCGTGTGTGGTTGATTGGGGATGGCACGCTGCTTAAGAACCACTTCATTGCCATTGTACAGCATGGCCTGCTTGCTCGGAACATGTTCCAAGCGATGTCTGCAGCAAAGACGCAGAGATCTTCCCATACTGTAGCCCCGACGCTACCTGGATACAGGCTGTGCACATCGCCTCCGGCGAGTTGGATGCTGCCGGAGACTCCGCATTGCACCTGGCAGCTTGGATGAGACTGGAAGCTTGAGCTCACATGTCTTAGGTGCATCCATGGTGTCCTGACAGTGCGCCACAAACATGTCCTAAGGCAGTGCTTGGGGGACATCTGGTGTTCACGCGGGACCTGCGGGCTGAGGGCGAGGGAACGTCAAGTCTGTCTCTCCCTCTCTCTGCGACCGGCATGCAGGAGTTACTGGCTGCATCGTGCGAGGCTAACGCCTGCCGTGCGGTTTCTGTTTCTTTTTGGGGCAGCCTTTGCTGAAGTCTAATCGCGGTGCCAGCAAACAGGGGGATGGCATCAACGAGCCGTAGTAAAGTCCTGTCGGTGTGTCGGTGTCAGAGTCGGAGGTGCACGCCCGCGATGGCCGTGGGCGATCTCCTTTGCACGCTATGCTCTTGGGCAGAGAGAGGTCGGCATGCGCATCGCTTCTTCTGATTCTCTGCAAGGTGGCGGCCATGGAGGGAAGCCCCGAGTTGGTTGGGGGCCTAAAAGCCTCAAAGAGCCTCTCTCTGTGTTTTCGCTGCTCGGCTCGGAGCTCTCAAGGCTTTGGAGCTCCTGGCAGCCGGAGCCGATGCCAATGGCTTGGACGACTGGAACCAAACAGCCACGCGCCAAGCATAGCTGGCACTTTGAGCAAGCTGAGAAAACCGAAACCACAGCTTTTGGGGTAGGTCAGATGGCGAAGGGGATCCTATTCATGTGGAGAGCATCAATTGCAGCCTTTGTGAATGCCAACAGGTTGCCTGTTGCCTCATAAAGGGTCCGGTAACTCGCGGCTGCACTGCTTGCAAACAGGTGTATGTCTTGTGCCTTGCACAGTGCATGCAGTCTGAGCTGAGTCTGTGTGTGCGGTTTGTGGCAGTGTCCCAGGCTCTCCACTGGGCTTCAATGGCACATTCAGCAGACTTGGCGATGCACCAAGGTGAAAACATGTCGGCTGTGCACGATCTCTTGCGAAGTAGTTGACATTCATTCTCGCTGGGGGCATCAAGGTTTCAGTCCTGCTGGATGGTCGCTTGGCCTTGCACTGGCTGTTTTCGGTAGCTTTAGCACTGCTCAGTTACGCGGTTTGCAGGTGGTGCCGATCCACTGCTTCAAGATAGCACAGACCTCAGAGGCTCTACTTGGCAAGTCGTCCGATGTGGGCCTTGACAGAGCGTTTGTGAAGGTCTCGCCCCGCCTTCTTTCCCCCCCGCATGATTTTCAGGTTTTGGCAGAACGGCTGCGTTCATGGCTGCAGAGTAAGGGTCTCGCTTGTTAAACTCTGACACATTCCGTGATTCTTTGTGCTTCCTGAAGGCAGGGCAAGATGGAGCTTTTGGCCCGCTTACTCGACAAGGCCCTTTACACTGCAGGCTCGCGGCGTGTGGTGGTGGAGCGACATGACAAGGAACCCAGCTGTGCCACGATCCCGAACAACGAGTGCCAAGCCCTTTTCAATTCTACATCAAGGTATTCGGTAGTCTTATCGGCATGCATGGCTGTTGCCCGCATGTTGTGTGGTACTTGTAGCATGGCTGCCGAGACTGGAGCCCTCTGCATGTGGCAGCTTTCGGCTTACAAAGCGTCAAGCCGTGGCCTCGTTTGAGTCCATGTGCTCCACATCTCCCTTCCTCTCTTTCAGTCGTCTCGCTCTGATGCCAGGAACTTCACAAAGCCTCTGAAGTTTTTGGAGACCGTGAAGTTGCTGCTGGCCGCCAAGGCGCCCGCTAGATTCGGGCATGGCGCTTGGCATCTAGGATGCTGTGCAGCAAAAGCGGCAACGGCTTTTCGGCAGGCTGAAGTTGATGCGAAGGAGACAGTTAGTTCCAGTGCGGTGGAACTTGGGGAGTTCTGGTGTCAACAGGCGGCAGGTGCCAGTGCTGTGAACTCTGCAGGATGAGAATTGCCGCACTGCCTTACACAGAGTTGCTCAAGCAGGAGTGCTCTTGCTTGTCATCTGGGTCTGAGCTGGTGGCTTTTGGTTCGGATGACAGGAAACAGCGAGCCGCTTCAAGCACTGCTTGCAGCTGGTGCAAGCGTGTCCAGTGCAGTCGTGCCTGCATGGATTCGCTGTGCTATCCACAGCCAGTGCTGAAGATAGACTCTACATTGCAGCTCAATGCAGGATTCCTTACAGGAACAAGACTGACAGGTATTGACAGGTGCGCACCCCAGGGTTCCTTGGATGGCATGCACGCCAGGATGAATGCAGATGGACACCCATGCACTATGCAAGCCAGGCAAGAGAGCACATGCCCATCAAGACTGCAGTAGTTGGTAGATGCCAGATATGGCTCTGATTGGCTTTATGTTGTCTAGTCGTGCCGATCAGGAGGGTCACCTGCAGATTGCAAAGCTCCTGCTAGATGCGAAGGCGGTTTCGGGTTAAGCCAACTTTTTTGCCAGGATAACATGCAGCGACCAATGTTTAATCACTTAGTCAGCTAACAATGGATGCCAGCCGTACACACTGCGTAAACCTGCTCAGCCATGTTCAGCCCGGAAGCCCGGGCTGCCTCGAGGCAGATGCAGAGCCCAAGAACCCAACATGCTTGACACCACTGGCCATTGCAACTGAAGGGAACCAGGCCGGGCAAAATGTGAGCTTTTCTGAAAGTGCAAGCAAAGCTCGTTGCTCGGGCTGCCTAGGTGAAGATGGTTGAGTTTTTGCTCAAGCATCGCGCAGATCCGCATGCCAGGGCAAAAGGCCATGCCCTTGGACTTTCGGAAGAGGTCAGGCCATCCCAGGCTGTTTTGCAAACTTGGCTTTCCTCAGTCTTGCTACCAAGGCTTACATTCGCCTCTGATGATGGCTCGGAGCGACCCGAAGAAGTTCCGGACTCGTCTGTTCTTTGCATAGTGACGCTCTGGTCCTTGGCCGGGCAAGGTATGCTGATATACTTGCGCTCCTTGAGCTCGGCTTCATCAACCACTAGCTCTGCAAAAAAGTGCAGTCGCCCCAGTTTGTCTCACCGAAACGGCGGAAGCTGCGCAAGAAGCGTGGTCAACAGAGTTGCATGCTTGAGAGACCGGTGACCGTGCATGACAATCTCTTGACGTTCTTGCCAGGGCATGTGGATGCTCGCATCATTTGGGCTCAGAAGCCGGCCGGTGCCTGCGCCTGCCATGTTGGGAGGCGGGCTGTGGACTTTGAACCGCAAGACCGGGCGCACGGAAGGCTGTTGACAGAGGCCGTGCACCGCTGAGGCAGCATGCCGAAAGGAGCCTCGAAGAAGCTCGGCGGCACTTTGGGTGACATATGTTGCAGTTGGCAGGAGCTGAATGGCTTGCCTATTGATTTTCTGTGTGTGGACCCATTTGGGTCCATCTAAAGTCCCCTATCTCGATTGTCACCGGGCCCGGTAAGTTACTGTCGGCAGACCTGACTTCTGTGGCAAAGGTGGTGAACATCATGTGTGTATCAGATAACTTTTAGGTCGGCCTGGAGTCGTTGCCATGCTCTCAGTCTGTTCGGATACACCGACTGACGCAGGCAAAAGCACTCCACGAGAGCCAGCTGCCGAACATGGCTGCTGGCTTGCGTCACCTTTGCTCGGAGCTTGATTGCTTCGATGTCAATGCCAGTCGCAGAAACATGCAGCTTGGCAGGGCTTGCATGTACCTCAGGCGATTTTGGGCGTTCAGCAGATCAAAATGTTTGTTACGCTGCCGCAGACATCCAGGTGGGCACATCGGGATTCACTCGATTACTTGTGCAGCTGGTGCTGGCATGTTGCAGGCAGTCTGAGCCAATGGACTCCCGACGCCGTGCCCTAATTCTGGGAGGATGCCGATGCTGGTCTGGTAGGATGTTGAGCTGTTCGGGGGCAAAAGATTCCGTTGGTCGAATGCAATACCGGTGCATACCTCAACCTGGTCAGTATGCCTCGTTCACAACTGTTTTGCACATTTGCAGGAATGTCTTTCGCAGCCTTTGAGGCACGGGGGATTGTCGTCTTTGAAGAGACGACTCATGGTTGCTCATGATATGCAGATCGGCCGAAACATAGCACATGCTGGAAAGTCGCGGTCGGCCTCATGTGCAGGATCAGGCCCATGCAGCAAGCTCTGCAGCTGCCAAGATAAAGGAGTGCCAGGCCAGCCTTAGAAGATGTCGTTAAGGATAGTCGCAGCTCGTGCTTGACTCGCTTGTCTTGTGTGCACATAGAAGCCGTCATTCGTCGAGGCCGAGGCCAGCAAGATTGTTGGCGGTCTCGAGTCGACAGCAAAGAATGCACTGGCCATGACACCGGGGCAGCCCGGATCCTGGCGCAAATGCCACTGGTTTGTGATGCCTCGCTGACTTGCTAACGTGCGAGGGTTGCTGAACAGCAAGCTCGCGGCCCACCCAAACTGGGCAGCTTTGAGACGCTTGAGGGGTCCGCACCTGAGCTCCGAACTTCGAACCCTCGGCCGCTCCGCTGCCGCTGCAGGCCGTGCTCGACATCCGCGCTTCGCGCTGCTGCCAGTGTCCAAGTCCGGTTGTGGTTGCTCCATGAATCTGGGCTGCTTAGCACTCGAGGCAGACAGCTTGGCTGCATCACCCCCAGCTGGCCTCACCCGATATGCCGCGACCCTAGGCCCTACTGTAGTGAGTCGCCAGCCTCTCGACGCGAAGCGCAAAGCAAAAATCAAGACTGAGGAACTCCAGCGCTTGCAGGATGCTCCAAAGCGGATCGTGGAGGCCCCTTCATTTCACTCTCTGTGGCCGCCGTGGTTGTGGCGCTCAGCAGGCCCGCACGGCAATCGTCGAAGCAAACGCCAACAAACAGGCAGGGATGAACCCACGTTGCCCTCCCATGCTGCTTTGAGTGTAACCATATGTTTTCGTGTTCCTTGTTCCGCTGCAGGGTCCTCGCCTTTTCGGCGCTGTCAGGAAGTACATGGACGCATCCGGATCCCTGCTTGTGGGTATTCCATAGTTGCTTCCAGAAGAACTTCAATTTTAATCTCTTTCCTCTCGCCAAAATAACTGCGTTAGGTGTTAGCATGCAGCCAATCTGGCTTGAGAAGCAGGCCAGTCGCCACTATGGCAAGACTCTTCTTAAAAGAACGATAATTATGGTGCTTGCCGAAGAAAAATCGCTGGGAATTAGCTAATAGAGATTTTTCAGATTTAATTTGCTATATGGAATCGTTCCCATCAAAAACGTAAAAATACATATTCGAAATATACGGTCTTCATTTAGATCCAAAACATTGAATCTATAATTTACTTAATATTTATCGAGATAGGATGTATTTCTTCTATTAAATTTTGTTACGTCGCTTCGATGAAATATTGGTCTATAATCGATGTTCATAAGTTGTGGGCGAGGGGGGCGTCTGTCGTGGGGAGTACCGAGGATTGGTGGGTGAGGAAGGGAACGTCGGTAAAATTATGCACGGCAAGGGGGGGGTCAAATAGTGGGTAAGAGCCCGGTTTGGAGGATATAAGGTAGGCCGAATATATTTTAAATATGGAGAAATTTCTTGAATTTACTTAAATTGAAATAGATATATAGATATGATTGCGATAGCAAAAAAAAGGTTTTTGAGATTCGATATATTAAAAAATATATGAAAAGGGATTAAGATAATTTTTAGGATTATTTTGATAAAAAAATTTTAGATAAAGAAATAGTAAATGATTTTTTAATTGAATTCTCTAATAAAACGGTGTCGTGCTGGTCGCCTCCGTTTTTTTGTGCACGCCCCTGGCCCCTGGAACCTCGTACTCTGGCGCGTTTCCTTTTGAACGCCTCTTGCGTGCCTTTCTCGTGGCACTAAAATTTCGGAAATTTTAGTACCGGGAGCCCTTTTTTCCCGGTACTAAGATTTCC